TCTTTCTTTTTATAAAAAGAATTTATGTATTTATTATTATTGCTATTATTTAATTTGCTATAGGGCACATGCACTCATCAGAGAGAGAAAGAAAGAAAGTGAGAAAGTAAGCTACCAGGTGCAGTACTCAACCACAGTCAACCAACACCTTAGCCACCACGTCACCTGCTGGCCCCCACTAACATTTTTCAAAGAATTATTTTATTTAACTTTATTTATTATGGGTTCATTTATTTTTAATTTGACTATAGAGGGACAGAGCAAAAGCAAGAGCAAAAGAGAGAGAGAGAGGGAAAGTGAGAAAGCAAACCACCACATCCTGGACTCGAGCCACGGTCAGCCATGTGGGAGTCCAGCGCCCTTAACCACCATGCCACCTGCCAGCCTTGCCCACTAACACTCTTAACAAGAGAGAAATTTAGAACACATAGGCTGCTGACAGTAGGTCAGTAACAGTCCCTCACAAAGCAAGATTTGCATTTTATACACTGGTGTTAAATCACATTATTTAGTATCTTGCTGCTAACTGTGATATCTACGAGCCAAGCTTATTAGAAATGCCAATCTGGGGCTGGCCCAGTAGTGAAGGCAGCAGGATCCCAAATGGTGGACCGTGCAGATCGAATGTGGACCCTGGAAGGTTGAAAAAGATGCTGAGCACATGCGCATGCAGGCCCCAAATCCTGACAGGATGAAGAAATGGAGAAGGATTATGGAACAAATATGCCCCATAAGGGATGCTTTCTCCCTTCCCTCTCTGTTTTTGTCTCTCTTTGGTGAGCACGCACACCCTCTGGCAAAGCTTACACACATACACACACACACATAAAGAATTTAGAGGAAAAGTGATTACTTTTAAAGCTTTTGGCTTTCTTTTTCCACCAACCATGTCTTTTTCAATATCTTTCCGTAAATTAAATTCCTCTTGGAGAAAAATCTCTTTTCATTATGATATTTTATTCAAAAGTAACTCTCATAAGTCTGGTCTTTAAAGTCATGCCAAGAGAAAATATTTAGTATGTACTTTAACGGCATTTCACCATAAAAATAAGGAATTCACCTTTTTAACTTTGGCCGCTGTGAAGTTGACTGTGATGCAGGATTTGAAAACCCTGTGCTTTTACTAACTGGAATGGCATTTTTTTTGGCATTAACAACTTGAGAAGAGTGGGCACTAAAAGACTTAGGACTCCTCCTCTTTGCTTTCCGTTCCTCCATAGTTTTAAGTTCCTTATTGCACCAAGGCCAGCTTCTTAGGACCTAAACAAAGAAATAATAGAAATTACATATAAATACTATAACGTGCAAAAATGAAAGGGATGAAAAGACCTATTTCACAGACTGAAAAAAGACTAAGAATTTAAGAAGTCATTACAGAAAGTTAGAATAAAGGGGTCCTTAAATTTAATGTACTTTATTATGTACACAGAATCCCTTAGGAAACTGTCGGATAGACAAAATTGTATCTTTACTGTTTTCCTTATTCACTCATCTGACAAATACTTATTGACTCCTTTCACAAGCAAAGCCCTATTGTCAGTAATGAAAAGACAACATTAAAAAGATAAAGTCTTTGCCTTCAAGAAGTCTACATTATACATGAGGAATAATACATAAACAATAAACAACCACCTATGTAATATTACCAGCCTGACTCAAGATTTAAGTGGCTTTTAGGTTTCCCTTCCAAAATATATTACTGGGAAGAATCAACTACATTCCAGCAGAACTCTATATTATACAAGGGGCACAATACATTAACAATAAACAATCACCTATATATTACCAGCTTAACGTAAGATTTAAGCGGCCTTTAGGTCTTCTTTTCAAAATATTTTACTGGGAAGAATGGACTACATTCAAACAGATATATAATTGTCTGTAGCATCAGTATTTCACACCACTACGAGTTACGAGTTTTATTTCAATTACCAAAGATAAACTGTTTTCTGCTAGCGATAGAACGGATTCTCACTCTGTAAACAATTGAGGTTCTGTAAAATCACACTTGGGGGGCCAGATCTGTGGCACAGCAGATGCGCTGCTCAAGAGAAGGGGGATCTCACCTGACGACCTTAGGAAGGTAACGCGAATAAAGCAATGGTGGTCTAAAGTGCAATGAACTGAGGGCCCCAGGCTAGAGATCTCTCGGTTTTTGGAAGTCAGCATCTGTCACAGGAGTACTAAAATCCTTCCTGTATACCAAGCAGCAGAACTGAGGGCCCCAGGCTAGAGATCTCTTGGTTTTTGGAAGTCAGCATCTGTCATAGTACTAAAATCCTTCCTGTATACCAAGCAGCAAGGAACGTTTTAGAGACGTTGTAAACAAACTGCTCGTAATTACTTACACACACTGGCTGTCAGGGTCGGGTCCTGTCTCCAAGGAGGACCGCTGGGGTCCCGCCCGACTTCACTTCAATCTCCTTCCCCAATCTGCCTAATCGATGACCTTCCACCGCTCAGAACCCAGCAAAGACCAGGAAGGAGGGAAAAGCCTAAAGGAGAGGTTGCGAGAGTTCTTTGGTTCCCACTACATACCCGAGGAAGAAGGGGATGGGGGTCCCCTCCGTCAACGTGCAAAGACCTGGGAGCCTCGGAAGCCACCGCCGCTGCTGCAGCGAGGGCCCAAATCACATCCCGGGACCCGCGCCTCCGCAGCTGCCTTTGTTTACGGAAGTGACGTAAGAAGGCGGGGCCTCCGTGCGCCAGGCGGGAGCCCCGCCTCTTCCTGTTCAGCCTGCGTCGCTGCCGTCTCCGCCCTCGGCACCTCATTGCTTCCCCTCTCCTGCCTTCAGCCGTAACTGCGGCCGGCGTGGCAAGGGGGATTCATGGCGAGGCGGTTCGTTTTCGGCTCCGTAATCTAGAAGCAGAGTGGGGTAAAGGGTGGCAGCGAGGAAGGAACGAGAAACGCAGCACCCTGGCCTGGAGCTGTCCCGCGCCCGCGCTGTCGGCCCACACGCACTACAAGTCCCAGCATGCCATTCGAGGGGCCGGGGTCGGAACCGGAGGGTTGCCATGGCAGACGGTTCTGCATTGTTTCTGGTTTGTTGTCCGGTCTCATCAAGACTAAACCAGGCTGGCTTGGGAAGTGTGATGCCAAGTCCCCAAATGAGGTGGTATTACTGTCGCGAATAGCTACTTTGTTGAGACACTAGACATTGTTATCTCTAAATTTCACTACAATTATATGAGGCAGGTGTAATAAGCCCAGTTTTACGAATGAGGATTCTGAGACCCAAAAAGACTGATCCATCTAGGTATCTCTGTTGCCAAAGACAGTTCTTCCACTTAAAGCCTCTGGAGAAGGAATCGCGAAAGAGTTGCAGGTGCAGAGAGACGGAGCCATCCTAGATGAGGAAAAAATCTTTCAGCCCCTGGTTGGGGTAGCCTTTTCGTGTGGAGACTGGGAGTGGGAAGGTTGTAGATTAATAGGCTCTAAGAGTGAAAAGGCTCTGGATGGACGAACATCACGTAATGGTGTTTGTATCTAGAGATTATTTGAGAGCCAGAGAGACAGGGAAAGGTGCCCAGGTCTCTTGGTTTCTATTGGACATTCTTCCACCACCGTCCGTTTTTTTTTAAAAAAAATTTTTTTGAAATATTATAAAAGTAAAAGCACAGAGCAGACATTCATGTACCCATTACCCAGAATGAACTGATATTATATTTTGTTATTCCATATTTTTGAGAGATTTTTGCCATAGAGCACGTGCACTTGCCAGAGATACAGGGAGAGATAGGGAGACAGAAAGTGAGAAAACACCCCCCCCAGGAAGGATGGCCATCCCACAATCTCATCTCCTCTATTCTCTCAGGATTTTTTTTTTTTTTTTGAGAGGTTTTTGGTATAGGGCGTGTGTGCTCGCCAGACAGGGAGAGACAGACAGAAAGCGAGAAATCACCCCCCAGCGGGGATGGCCACACCGCAATCCCTTCTCCTCCATTCTCCTCTCATGATCTTGGGCATGCACGCACACGCGCCTGGTGTGAGTTTTAAGTCACCGGGTCCGGGACGCGAACCGCAGTCGACTACGTGGGAGTCCAGCGACATAGCCATTACGCTCTATTCTTCTAAGGATATTTTTTTTTTTTTTTGAGAGGTTTTTGGTATAGGGCGTGTGTGCTCGCCAGACAGGGAGAGACAGACAGAAAGCGAGAAATCACCCCCCAGCGGGGATGGCCACACCGCAATCCCTTCTCCTCCATTCTCCTCTCATGATCTTGGGCATGCACGCACACGCGCCTGGTGTGAGTTTTAAGTCACCGGGTCCGGGACGCGAACCGCAGTCGACTACGTGGGAGTCCAGCGACATAGCCATTACGCTAACTGCTGGTTCCCACCTCCTCTCAGGATTTTGAACATGCACGCACATGCATCCAGCCTGAGTTTCTAGCTGTTGGGTCCAGAACTTGAACCACAGTTTACTACATGGGTGGCCAATGATGTAACCATTGTGCCATCTGCTGGTCTCTGTTATTCCATATTATGAAATGAAAGTAGAACATATTTTAAGAAAAAAAAGTTCATGGAAAATTTTGAACATACATGGAAGATGAAACAGTAGATCCCCCATCCAGCTATTGACAAATGGCTAACCTTGTTTCATTATACCCCTCCCCAACTCTTTTTGTTTCCAGTATTATAATATATTGAAGCAAATCCCAGACATTTAATTCATAACATTTCAGGATGGATCTTTACAAAAGAAAAATTCTACCATGATACCATTATTTGTCCTAAAATAGCAATAATTGCTTAATATTGTTGAACAACCCGTGACTGTTCAGATTTCCAGTAACATCATAAGTGTCATTGTCGATGTTTCATTGGGATCTGGAATCTCTCTAAGATCCTCAGGTGATGAATGGGTCTGAGGCGGAAGGCACTGTCATATATCCTCATTTGTTGAGGTATAAACAAACGTTTTCCCTCCCTTTGAGAAGAATTACATTCTAAAGAGAAAGGCATGTATCTCAACCTAAAGCAAATGGTTGCTATACCACAGTGCCTGAAAAATTAATATCCCCCGTCATCCTTTGTGGTTCTTGCAGATAAGAGGAACTTACTTTTTAACTTGGAAACCTGTCCATCACATGTTAACTGTTCCTTTGTCTCCCTTTCCTTCCATACCAGAATATCTAGGCCAAGACAGATCACTGCTCAATGTTTCTTTGCCTGTCTGGTTCAGGGAACTAGAAAGCTCTAAAGCAGAAACGAGCCTGGCATATTCATGGAATGAAAAGAATGCCAGTGTCGTGGTCGTGGTCGAGGGCAAGGCCAAGGACAGCTGGTATGATGCTGAAGAAATTTACTTTCCTTTTCACCTGTATCTGATGCTAAGATTCTAAGTAGTCTAGAGGTTATTTAAAGTATATGGGAACATGCAGGCAGTTATTATATGCAAATACTGTGCTGTTTTATATAAGGGACTTGAGCATCCACAGGGTTCCTAAGCCCAATCCTCCACAGATACTGAGGGATGACTATATGCCATGGGTCAGCAATTTAACTACACTGCAGTATAACCCTTTCTTCCGTTTTCTCTCCTTCTCTTGAATTTTAGTCCAAGGTCAGTAGTGTTGCCATGGAGTACAAGACTGCTGAGAAATACCTATAGGGATAGCTTACAGTGTAGCAGAGAATGAGGGAGGCAGGACTGAAGGAAAGAGAGAGGGAGGGGCAGTAGGAAAAGAAAGAAGGAGGAAGGGAAGTAAAGGAAGGGTTCCCATAACACTTTATATCTCTATGCAACACATAAATTTTAAAATGTTACCTAAAACCCAATTTTCTAACACTGTCTTTTAAGGGGTTGGGTTAATTCCTGTCAGTGGGGAAATAAATGCATATATTAGGGCGAGACAAAGGATGAACTCTGGTAGATGACCCATTGTGTTGTCACAATAAACAGTGATTGTTGTATAAGCCCAGGTGGGCTGGAAGCTGATTTTGAGCATGTGAGATTGAGGACATTGAATTGCTCCATAAAATAGTGTGAGAAGAACTGTTCACAGGAAAAGGAATGTGGGATTTGCAAACTGATGTTAAGAGACAGCCAAAAAGAGGGAGGGGGAGGCATATGGAAAAAGGCTGGTCAAAATGAAGGGAAGGAGGAGGACTTTGAAAAGAGCAATGAAGGGACCAGCAGTTAGTGTAATGGCTATGTTGCTGGACTCCCACGTAGTCGACTGCGGGTCACGTCCCGGACCCGGTGGCTTAAAACTCATGCCGGGCACATGTGCGTGCGTGCCCAAGATCCCTAGAGGAGAATGGAGGAGAAGGGATTGCGGCGTGACCATCCCCCCTGCTGTGTGATTTCTCGCTTTCTGTCTCTCTGTCTCTGTCTGTCTGGCGAGCGCAAGCGCCCTATAGTGAAAACCTCTCCAAAAAAAAAAAAAAAGAGCAATGAAGTCTTATTATTCAATTTGTAATTGTTAGTGTTGTTGTACACACACACCAATATATACACACAGTTGTACTTCTAAGCTCAAAGCTTTCTGTAAGTAATCATTATGGAAATCAAGATGAAAGAGTTGTTTTTCACATCTTGAGAGATGTACAAACCAGGACAAAATGTGTGTAACAGTAACATAGTCCAGAAGCTGAATTATGTCATATGAAGCAGGAGCTTGGAGTCCCAGGTGAATGGAAAAGTTACAATCTATCTTCTTCGCTACAGTGTCACAAAGAGGGTAATTTTTTTCCCTATATAAAGGTGAGATTAGATTTTATTGCATTTTACTTTTAAAGGGCAAGGATACTAGGAATGACATCTGTTATCTGCCTGTCTTTCCCATTAGTCTATTAGTTACTCAAAGGAAGATCTTATACACCTTTATCTTACTGTAATTTTCTAGAAGGTATGTGCACTTGCTAGAAAGAGAAAAAAAAGAAAGAAAGCATTCCCCATGGTGTATGGTCACACCACATAGATTTTGGCATACATGTATATGTGTCTGACATATTTTTCATGCCACTGGGTCCAGGACTCAAACCATGAAGCTGGCTATGTGAGATCCAGCAGCCTTAACCACTGCACCACCACCAAGCCCATCTTCACATTCTTAATGTCTGGAATAGTGTGTGGCATATAGTAGAAACTTAGCAAATTTTCAGTAAGTAAATGAATAAGGAAAAATCACATGATGGCAAATGACAGGATGGCATTATTGCATCAAGTGTCAATATAATTCCTATTTTATCTTACATGTAATTTTACATATTTGTGAGTCGTAATTTGATTTTTTTAGGATAAGAATACAATAGGTAATGATTAAATAAGGTTGATTAGTATATGTATTGACCATTTGCCATGACTTTGTATTGGGACATCCAAAACTCTCTTTTCTAGTTGCTCTGAGATACATAGTAAATTGTTGTTAACTATATCCATCCTACTGTATTTTATAAGATGGCAGATTGTTTCTCTTCGCTATCACTAATTTTGTTTCCATTTATCAACGTCACCCCAAACCATCCTGGTCTCTAGTAGTCACTTTTCAGCTCTATACCTGTGAAGTCATCCTTTTCAGTTTCCACTTACGTGTGAGATAATGCAGTCTTTCTATTTCTGTGCTTGGCTTATTTCACTTAACACAATGTCCTCCAGACTTGTCCATGTCACCTCAAATGGCAGGATTTTATTGGTTTTGAAGGCTGAACGATATTTGATGGGGTGTATGTTTGTGTTGGTGCATGGTCATACCTGCGTGTGTGTATCACATTTTCTTCATCCATTCTTCTGTTCCTGGACACTGAGGTTGATTCTACAGATATACCTTGGCTACAGTGAACATTGGGGTGCAGAGATCTTTATGGCATACCGGTTTTCTTTCCTATGGATTTATGCATAGTAGTGGGACTGCTGGGTCATATGTAGTTCTGCTTTTAGCTTTTTGAGGAACCTCCCTGCGCTTTTCCACCATGGCTGTATTAACTTACAGTCCCACCAACACTATAGAACAACATAATTCAAATTTCTTATTCCAGAATTAGAAATCAGGTGGCTCTCAGTCATACCTGCCTCTGATCTCCAGGTGGCAGTATTCTCTCATATTAAATTGTTTTGAGACACCAGCTTCCATTTACCTCTTGAGAAGAGAACATAAGTGTATTAAAATAAAAATTCAGCGCTGTCGCCTATTTCTATTGTATAGAAACAAACAATAAATAAAGCATAATTACGTGAGAAGATGGATTTTTTCCATCCATTTGAACATAAATGAAAATTACTAATAGTTTTTTAATTCAAGCAGTTTCTAAAACTTGGAAGGTAAACACAAATTGGTGTACTTTGTTTACAAAATACACGTATTTCTTCAAAGTATGAACATCTGTGTGCATATGTGCGAATGTGTGTGTGCGTGTCTATGTGTGTAAAAGAGAAGGAGGCAGTAATATGTCTAGAAATAATTCATCTCCCATCAAATAGTGTGGCCACCTTAAGTACAGAGTGTCCAGTTAAATTTTAATTTCAAATAAGAAAGAAACACTTAATCTTGGTATGTTCCTGGCAATATTTGGGACATATTTATATTAAAAATATTTCTTGTTTATCTAAAATTCAAATTTAACCAAGAAACTTGTATTTTTCTTTGCTAAATCTGGCAGTCATACCAGCACACATTTTGTTGTGGTGGTTAAAAACCTTTCCAGCTCATCAAGGTAAAATGGTGCTTCTTTACGTGGAGAGATAAAAAGGAAGTAGTTGGGAGAGTCATTTCTCCGCCTATGAGTAACTGTTACTCTTTGCACTCTTCCCATGCAGACAAGAGCCCTTCAATTAAGTAACTTATTTGCAGGAAACTAAGCCCTCTAGCAAGTGTAGCTGGTCAAACTTAAACCAGTTATATATGTGAACACGATATTTTATAAGATTTGTGAGTCTGGTGGAAAAGCCAAGCTCTATGAAGTTCCTAGATCCCCTGACCTTTGATTCAAGTATAGTTTTCAGGGGTATGTGACCATAATAGCTATGAAAATACATAGATGACTTGGTTATGAAATGAATCCTATTTCAAAAAAGTAAAGAGTCCTAGCTTGATGGCTGGAGTGGTTAAGGGAGCGGATACCATATGGTTAACCACAGTTCAAATCCTGGCCCCAGTAACGTGAAAAACATGCTGCGCGTGTGTGCAGGCATGCCCAAAATCCTGACAGGTTGGAGAATGGAGAAAGGATTGCAGCAAGACTACACCCCATGGAGGGGTTTCCTTGCTCCCTCCCTCTCTTGCTTTGTTTTTGGGGAGTGTATGCATCTTTATGGCAATAGATATCTTTTTAAAGTAAAGAAGTTTCTGTTCAATGAACTATTACAGACTTGAATACACTTGCATATTCTTTCGAGTTTATTTCATAAGAGAGAGACAAAGAGAGAAAAACAGAAGAACCCTCAACAGGGTCTCCTACTGTGATCCTCCCTCCAGCATTCCAGGCCAGCAAAAAGTGTACACATATGTGCTGGTGTGTACTGGAGGCCTGAACCAAACTCCGATCCTCCACACGACTTAAAGCACTGCAGAGCTTTGAGCTATCACTGTGCCATTGTAACTAGGCCTGTTTGCATTTTCAATATAAATATCTCCTGTCTTCCAGATAAACTGCTTCAAAATTTTATTTCTGGCCCAGCCTTGGCGGCACAGATGGTAATGTACAGAACTGCAATGCTGGAAGCCATACGGCCTACTGTGGGTTCAAATCCCTGTTCAACCTGAAAACATGCTGGATGCACACACATGAGCCCAAGATCCTGAGGAGCGAGAGGGCTGAAGAAAGGGGATTGCAGTGTGGCAAGACCGTGTCAAGCCTGTCTGTCTGTCTGTCTCTCACTCCCTCTCTCATGTGCATGCATGCATCTGCTCTCTATCATGAATAAAAATAAACAGGGGCTGGCCCCGTAGCCTAGTGGTTTAAGGAAGCTGAATCACACATAGTCAACTGCAGTTTGAATCCTGGCCCTTACTACTTAAAAAATGTGCCAGGGGCACATGTGTATGTGCCCTTAATCCTAACAGGATGGAGGAATGGAAGAGAAAGGATTATGGCATGACTACACTCCATTGGAAGGTGCATCCTACTCTGTTTCTATCTCTGGAAAAAATCCTCGAATAATAAATAAATAAATGAATAAATAAATAAACTTTAAAACCATTTTTATTTGCAGATATTCTGAATTCGTAACAAGTTTTCCATAGAAATGTTACTATGACTGGTGATCAGATCTTACCTAGGAGAAGTTCAGTAAATACTCGATTATGTCGTTGAAATACTATGTTTACAGTTAACAATATTACATTTTTTCTTTATTTATGATAGAGTGTGTACACACACACAAGAGAGGGAGAGAGAGATAGAAGCACCCTCCATAGGGTCTTGCTATGCCACCATTCTGTTCCATCAGTCCTCCAGCCCATGGCGTCTTGGGCACTCGTGCATGTGTCTGACATGTTTCAGACCAACTGGGTCAGGGATCCAGCAACACAGCTGCCCTCACTCCCAATTTTTCTTTTCTTTTCTTTTTTTTACATTTGCTGGAGGGTACATGCATTCCTCCATTTCTCCTGCCTTGTGGGATTTTGGGGCACTCATGCACATGCACCTGGAGGGACCAGAAGGACTCCAACTGAGCAGTCAGCCATGTAGGATCCTGCTACCTTAACCACCAGTCAACGGGCTGACCCTTAAACATATTTTCTGGGGTTTTGTTCCTTTTCATAATTTGCTAGAGGGTGCATGCACTTGCCAGAGAGAGAGAAAGTACCCCCCATGGAGAATGGTCATGCCACAATCCTTTCTCCTCCATTTTTCCTTTTGAGATTTTGAGCATACATAGATATCCACTGGCGTGTTTTTCAAGCTGCCAAGTCCAAAACTTGAACTGCATAGTTGGCCATGTGGGATCCAGCTATTTCAATCACCATGCCAGCATCTGGTCCCCAAAATAGGTGTTTTTTGTTTGTTTGTTTGTTTTAAAGGTTGTAATAGTTTTTTGTTGTTGTTTGTTTTGAGTATTTGTTATAGGGCATGCGTGCTTGCCTGAGAGCAACAAAGAGGAAAAGTGAGAAATCGCTCCCCATGGGAGATGACCACACAGCAGTCCCCTCTCTTCCACACTCTTCTTGGGATTTTAAGCATGCATGCACACATGGCCAACATTTTCAAGCTTCTGGGTCCAGGACTCTAACTATGTACTGGCCACATGGGATCCAGCTGCCTTAACCTCCATGCCACCTGCTGGCCCTATGATAGTAGTATTTTTGAAAGTAACAAATAAAAATGTTTTAAAAGTATTAAATATTCATGATGAAAGAAATATCAACAACCCATGTTTAACTTGTTCTGGTTCTGTGCCTGAAGCCATTCTTTTAGTCTTTATAATAGCCCTAGGAGGCCAATTCCATTATGATCCCCTACAGATGGGGAAACAGGCAAAGATTAAATAGGTGCCCAAAGTCGTGTGGCTACTAAGTTGTAGGACTGAGCCTTGAACCAGTCTGTGGCTACATTAACCACTGCACACAAGCTTCATTAGCTTAGAATAAGGAAGTGAGCAAGCCATCTTAGAAGATTGTAATAGGGACATCTGATCGTGGTCTAAGGTGGTACATTGCATTGTTCTCTAAACCTGGAATTTTCCCACATGAATAGTTGGTCTTTTCCTTAATTTAGATGTATTGTGAATACTTTCGTGCTTGTCAGAATGGAGCTGTTTTCGAGTTTATAAATGAAACAAAAGAAATAGGGAGATTACCTGAGGTAACTGGATAATAGTTCATACAAAGTGGGAGAGGATTACAGAGTACAGATGTGTGTATGAGAAAGCAATTTCTGGGGTGGAAATAACTGAGCTCAGAACTGAAAGGAGAAAGAGAGACAGAGAGAGGAGAATTTGACTTTCACAGTTACCTACAAGCAAAGGAAGAGAATGAAGGGACATTGTCCCATTGTATTATTAATTCTAACTAGTTTAGCTTTGTGATAACCTCAGGTGACTCCTGTACCAGAGTGTGACAATAGTGAATTTCCCAAAGGTCCTTCCCTGCTCAAGAGCTAAAGGAAGAGTCAAAAGTTTGACTCCCAAATGCATTGTCATTGGATGTACCTGCTACCTTCTTGCCTCTCCCCAAAAGTTGGATAAAGAATAGTGAAAAGTGGAGAGGAAAGGTTTCTGGACCTACTGTGAGGGGAATAGTTCCAACCCTGCTGCCTAACTAGCGCTCTAACCTTTGCTTATGAGTTGTTAAAGTTATTTGAGCTTCTGTTTTCTAAAGTAAGAAAGATAATTTCTTCATATTGTTATAAGTTTAAGTGTGTTGTTATATACAAGAGCATTGGATGCAGGGGTGATCCCTCCTGTGATCAGTACTTAATTATGGCCATGACCCAGGCCTCTCTAATTCATCTCTAGTGATTCTTGACCAGGGTGATAACCCAGATATTTACTTACCATTAGCACATTATAGTATACTTTGTATTCTTTACTTTACTTTGTATCGTATGCTCTGTATGCAATACTATACTTTGTATATTATAGTATACTTTGTATGCTATACTATACTTTGTATACTATAATATACTTTGTATACTATAATGAGCTAATTGTTGGCTAGGAGCTTGGATTCAGAAGGGGCTTCCTGAGTTCAAATCCTAGCTCTAGCTGTGTAATTTTGGGCAAATAATTTGATCTCTCAGTGCCTTGTTTCTTTCTTGGAAAGTAGGAGTCATAATAGGGCCTTCTTCCAAGGCTGGCCGTTAGGTAGAGAACATAGCTATAGGAGCTACAGTCTAATTGGGAATGACAGGCTTGTGATTGTCACTTGTGACAAGTAAGTAACTACAATGCTATATGAGAAGCATAACAACAGAGAGATGAATAAAAACACTTTGGTCATACAGGAAGCAGAAGGCAAGGACAGAGAGACTAATCTGGCATAAAGGATGAGGCTAAAAGAGAAACAATTTGATGTATATTTTGTAATATATATATATTATAAAATATACTCTAGCATGCTTTGTATACCATACTATACTTTGTCTATACTACATGTGTGTATTAGGTTTTCAGGAAAGTCATGATGTATTTTTCTATGTTTTTCTATGTAAAAATGCATTATGACTTTCCTGACAACTCAATATATATTTGGCCAAATAAAACAGTTTCTGCCCATGAGCCTAAGGATGGAGTCCAACCTGGGTGGCCAGGCTCAGTGATATCACACTCCTTCCCCCTGCCCCTACTTGCCCTTCCATTCTCTGTTCCTGGAGGGGCTTCCATGGCTATGGTCTTGCACATTCTGTTCCCTGGCCTAGAAGGCTCTTCCATATCTAACACATCTCAAGGGTTCAACAGTGACAGTGATAATATAAGAATGAGAGCAGCCAAATAAACAGTACAAATAATGTCAGCAGCTTACATTTAATCATCACCAGTGATTTGCATGTACAGTCCCATCTAAGCCTTGTAATAACCTTAGGAGGCAGGTGCTCTTTTTTTTTTTTTTTTTTTTGGAGAGGGTTTCGCTATAGGGCGCGTGCGCTCGCCAGACAGACAGAGAGAGACAGAGAGACAGAAAGCGAGAAATCACCCCCCGGGGGGATGGTCACGCCGCAATCCCTTCTCCTCCATTCTCCTCTTGGGATTTTGGGCACGCACGCACACGCGCCCGGCGTGAGTTTGAAGCCACCGGGTCTGCGGGTCTGGGACACGAACCGCAGTTGACTACGTGGGAGTCCAGCAACATAGCCATTACGCTAACTGCTGGTTCCAGGTGCTCTTTTTAACTCTATTTTTACAATGAGAATATTGAGGATTAAAGATAGATAGCCTCCCAAATTCCCATAACTCGTCAGTATCACAGGCAGGATTTTTAGGATTTTTACCTAGCTCCAGCTCTTCCTAGATCTCACCTCTTCACTTCTGCTGTCTCTCAACATAAATCGCTTCGGGGGGGTTGGACAGTGGCACAGCAATGACGCTCCAGGAGGTTAACCCGCTTGGGAAGGTTTTGGATCCTCGCAGACACTTCACTAAGGACACTGCACATGTTTGTGCCCATGATCTAGGACAGGCTGAAGCTGAAGGTGGATCTCAACTCAAGACTCTGTTGAGGATGCTGATATACTCATTTTCTTTCAACAGCTTTTGATTCATATACTAAATGGCACCCCAGAAAAGTCGTCACCAATTTCAGCTTCTGTGGTAGTGTTTCAGGGCTCTGGTTTCCTCACATTCTAACTAATCCTAGGTATTTTTTTCAGCCGTTGTCATTGTATAGAAAATGTATTGTGTTGCACCGTATTTGTTTCCCTAATGGTATCATCTGCTGGACAGTGGGCTCCTGAAGGAAAAAGACTATATTTTGCCATACCCAGAGTCAGTTACTTCCTGAATAGGCACTAAGCCAAAGGTAGAGAGGAATTCAGGGAGGGCCTGGATCCCAAAGTGATCGTGTGTTCTGACAAGACAATCCATGCTGAGGAGAGGAAGTTTTCGCCATCACTCGGAGCGATCGTGCAATCGTATCCTTCTGGGCCAGTGCCCTGTATGCATTATGTAATCCAAAGGTGTGGCTCTGCTAGTGTGAGCTTCAGACCAGGTAGGAGAGAAATCTACACTAGACTGAAAGCGAGTAAACAGGATCTTGCCGTTTTCCTCAAATGACAAGAACAATTGCTGGGGATTTACTTTACCAACTCTGAATAGGAGGATCACT